TTTTTTTTTTTTTTTTTTTTTTTTTTTTTTTTTTTTTTTTTTTGGAGCTTTAATCGTACGCCGTTACACGGTTATGAGCTTTTTTTTGTTTTTTTTTTTTTGATTTTTAGTTTTCTTTGTCAAGAATTTTCAATGTACGGCATTCCATTACACATTGGACATCTATACGTGCCAAACAAACTCATATATTCGGATTATATTTTTTTTTCTTTTTTTGGGAGTGCGACAATAGACGAATAGACGAATCATTCAAGGCAACCGTTTACACTAACGTTATAGACACTATGGATTGAATGGAATTTCCAATACGTTAACGCTATCATTTTGTTGACAACGCATAACAATCTGGAAATTCCATAAAGCATATGCATGATCAATAATATATCCATTGGTTACATCCAAAAAACTGTAAGTTAAGATCATAGTCACCAATCAATCACCGAAATCAATAATAAAAATTAATTTTAATTTATTGAGGCGGAAAAAAAGATTTAAAGAGCTTGCGAGAAAAAAGCAAAGACAAATATTAATAATAGCTTTAACTGTTACCGGTTACCGAAGAAAAGTTAGTGATGTCGCAAAATATTTGCGAGTTACGAGTCCCCGAATAAGTTCGCAACGAACTGACATGTACCAGTTGGTGGTTAAGAAATCTTTTGAAAATTGAAGAGATTATAACGCATACACACAAACACACACACACCCACACACAAACACATAAACAACCAAGCAACCATCAATACGAGAAAAGAGTGCCTAGACTTGTAGTTGAAACGAGACCAATACCCTTACGGCGATTAATTTTATTATTAATATTTTACTTATTTGTTTTAATTTTTTTTCGTCTTTCGCACAAAATCCCTCTAAGTCTATCCCGCAATTGATCAGCTGAGTGGGTAAGTCAGTTATAATGAGTGCTCAGTCGGTGAAGGGATTATACTCAATCGGTTGGGCAATGCATCTGCTGGGCTGCTTCCCTTCTTCTCATCTTTCTTTCAATCCTCGACTTGTTTCTGTGATCATCGCCATCTTACTTGTATATGGGATACCCATCGAATGTTTGGCTATAAATCACGCTTAACTTTTTCAAAGGATATGAAATAATAAAATTAGCTATAGATTTTTCCCATCTGTCGGACAAGTTGTGTGCTACCGAGCCAAGAAAAAAAGAAGAGAAACTTTTGCTTTGTTGACGTGTCACATCGATGCAAACAAATGGAATGGAATTGAAAGGGCTCATGTGTAATGGACCAGTAGCGGAGGAGGTAGGGCCCCTCAGTTGATGACTGGCAATAGTTATAGATGGATGGGCGGAACGACCTTATATCGGCTGTTTTGATATTCTATTCGATTTTTTTTTTTTTAAACAGCAAGGGTTGCTGTTGGTAGCAGCATTCGGTGTTAATTAGTCTATTAGTCTATTTAATAGCCAATAGCAGACTACACTCTACACTTATGGTCCCACTAAACACAGAATACGGTCTTATTGCCGAAGCGATTCAGTCTCTCTCAGATTTAAACGTAGCCACGAATTTTTTTGCCTGAAATTCCCAAAATAGATTCACCGTAAAGTTGTTGCGGGAATATGTTATCGTTTGCCTGCTTATTGTTGTGCAAGCTATAGGGGGAAAAAAAAAAACTCAACTTCCTGTACGGATGATATTTGCGGTCTTCAATGGGATAAATTCCGGTTTCATTGTTGCGCAAGCTAAGGTCACTAAACGCTTGATGCAACTAAGCCGTGCAAAAAGGCGAGTTGCAAACGTTTTTGACAAAATGAATATACGCCTTCCATCCTTCGGTGATGAGTGTAAAAATTTCGAGAAACTCATCCACGCCCAATCAATATTATGAAAATTTAATTTTTCTTTTTTTGCTTTCTTTTAGTCTTTGTTGCAATGTTTGGCGGTGAGTATAAAAGAAAGATTCGCTAACGATCGAACGATACGATTCTCTTGCTTGTTATGCATTTCGTTTGACTATTCGGTTGTCGCGAAGAGATGCTTCTCTCAATGCATATCCGTTATTTTGTAATAATTTACATCCGACACATCAAGTATATATGAATAAGACAAGTATTGCGTAAATGAAAGAGAAATCAATCGAAAATATTGCGATGACCAGCCAAGAGTTTAAATGGATCGATTATTTTCATTTAGGATTAAAGAAATTAAAAAAAAAAATATATATATATATATTTATTAAGACAAAGCTACCACCGAATGAAAGATGAGGAAAAAAAAAAAAAAAAATCAAATTTGAGACGAAAGGAATGAATTCTATTAACCAATGATAGTAGAATAGCTAGCTAGCTGTGCTAGGTGTTGATAAAAATTGAAAATTGAAAAATGATTTTTCAAATCAATATTTCGCGGTTAGATAACAAGTTTTTATTTTGATTTAGGAAAACTTATTTGCAACTTATTTGATATACAGATATAAAGAGAAATCAATTTTGACTATAATGACTATAATGCTATGAATATGTGTCTATAGTGGAAATGATTCTAAAAACTTTGATATCTAGCAGTGTAAACAAAATTTACAGGTTTAACGATTTTAGATTGCGTAAGACGTTCCGGAACAGGTGTGGCTGGTTGGCGCCTCGGCGGAAAACGTTGATACACTAAACGAGCCGGTTGCTGATTAATGGCATTATTTTGATCAAGTGACGAGGAAACAGCTACTACTGAACCATCATCGTTTAGAGAAACGAGAACCTCTTCGTTATCCTCGTCGACAATTTCTAATTCATCTTCGGATGGTTCAATTTCGAAAGTCTCTTCGGCAATTTCCGTATCAGGAGCAGTATATAAAATGTTTGGATTTTGATTTAAGGTACCTGGAGGACCGTATACTGCGTCAGGCGTGTGCTGACTTTCCGATCCCGTTAACGGTGGTCCATAGACAGCATCAGGTTGCTCGGATTGCGGGGGTCCGTAAACTGTATCTGGTCTCTTCGTTTCCGTTGGCAATTCGAATGGTATTTCCGGAGTGACGCCAGCTGCTGGATACCCAGCCGGTGCAGGAGTAACTTGAATTTGTTTTGCATTCCTGCTAAACGAACGCTGTCTTATCGGCTCCGCACCAATGTAGATAGTCAAAGTTAAAGTTAAAAATATCGCAATTTTAACCATTTTTTTCTTTGTTTTTTTTATCGAAGAGGATTTATTTAAAGAATTTCGAGAAATCGCGATTCGATAATTAGAAGAAGTTTTCTTATATTCGCTTAATAAGTTTATGATTTATAAATCGTTATCAACGATTCTTATATACTCTGAATGGGAAGTTCGTTAACATAAAACTTTTGCCATCACCTTGATCTTTGATGAATTTTAAATTTATGCTTTAGTATCGGATACGTAATACAAATGTAATATGAAAAAACAACATTTGTGAATTTTTTTTTTTTTTATCATGGATTTTACGCTTCTTATGATTGTTTTCCGTTTCAATTTCAATTCTCTCTCTCTCTCTCTCTCTCTCTCTCTCTATCTCTCTCTATGGATATGGTAGCTGGAGTACGTGACAAAGTTTCATTACTAGTTACGCTACATTTACGCTAATTTTAATAAAATTATTTTACATTAATATGCTACAACATAACTCAAATAGTTATTTAATTATGTATATGTATTTTGTTTTCCTTCTTTTCATTTGCAACGACCTTTCGAGGTCAGAGTTGATCGGTTCATTGCTTTTACTGTTAACATTCCCGATATTGATTTATTATTATTTTCATATTTTTTATGGATCATGCCTTTGTGAATGTTAACGTTTGCATCCTACGTTGAATACATAAATAGCTAACATTGTAAAAGAAGAGCTTTCGGGAGGCAAGAGTATATATGTAAAACTAAAAATTTGCTTAAAAGTACATTCAATGAGTCCGTGCTAAGATCATTGTGTACTTTACATACATTCATTCGCTGATATCTCTTGGGTGCGTTTGTTTATTCTTTTTTTGTTCAAATATTTATTATCCTCTAAATAAAGTCAAGTGCGAAGATGACACATTAATGTGACACAACGTAAATTGATTTTCTTTCACGTTGTTCATTAGTGTCCCGACAGCATCGTGTTATTCAGTCTTTCAAAATATATTAAGTTTTTCTGATATAAATGCTTTTGGCCGATCAGTTGTAATAAGTTTTTTAAATATCCTAAGATCTAGGGGAAATCGTTCGAGGATATCAAGGCCAGGCTCTGCAAATTTCCGTTCAACTCCTAATGAAAGTGATTAACTTTTCCAGTTTTTTTTTTGACATGGAAAGTGCCTGAACTTTAGATTCTGGTAAATATTTTTCCAAATCTATTATTGGTAAGTAATTAATTATATGCATTACAAATTTGTTTAAGATAAAAGCGGTTAAAGAATGATAGCCCAACCTACTTGGACATTAGGTTGCCGAAGCGAGTCAATTTGAGTCTTGTGACACAAGATGTAACAAGTTTGTGCAGAAGTATGTAACACGTAGGTGTTTCTAAGGTAGACCAATCGCAATTCAACATCATTTTCTCAGTCTAAACCTGTCAGTCCATCTGTCCGTCTGATGTTGGTCCATGTAATTTGAGTTCAATCTGCATTTTATTATAATTTTTAAGATAGTTGGATAAAAATTGGTACACTAACCGAATGATAGCCTAACCTACTTTGACACTAGGTTGCCGGAGCGAGTCAATTTGACTCTTTATACCCCACACCACTTGTGAGACAAGGTGTATCAAGTTTGTGCGGAAATATGTAACACTCAGTTGCTTCTAAGATAGATCAACTGATTGTTATACCGATCAATTCAACATCATTTTCCCAGTCTAAACCTGTCTGTCCATATGTCCATCTAATGTTGGTCCATGTAATTTAAGTTCAACCTGCATTTTACTGTATTGGATGAAAATTGGAACACTAACGTGCTTTAATCCAAAGATGAACGCTGTTGAAATGGTTTGATTGACTATTTCAACCACTTTCCATATAGCGCTTCATTTTGAAAAATCGTTATATGAAAAATATAGGAAATTTTCAAAATTCGCTCTGTAGTAGTATTTAGACAATCGAAATTGAAAATTTAAGCATGTCGTTAAAGACTTGGTTTCCAAATAATTGAGTTTATTACCGGGAAAAGGATATATGCATAAATTTCCAACATCTTTTATGAAACGCAAAAATTCTAGCTGTCCGCTAAGCTTTTAATAATATTTTGATAAATTTTAATGCCCTTTAAATATACATCGGCCGCAATAAACTCATCATGATCGTGTAGCAAAACAGGGGTGTTATTCATGGGCGAGAATCCTATAGCAGGTATACCAAGCGCCCGTATGTAACGGCTATCTGTTCCGCCGGGGAAAACTTGCGGTACAATTTTTAAATTCCTGCAAAGATTATATATATATATATATATATATATGTACATAAATATGATGAAATGTGAATAGGATTTTTTTTACAAAAATTTGAAATAAAAAAAACAAAATAAATGAAACGCACATCTCATCTGTGGCTTTTTTAAAAGCCACCCAATAAGGATTGGTATCATTAGTAGCAGTTGGCTCAATCCGGGGTTGCTTTTGCTCATATTCTATTTTAATATCTCCTCCTGCTTCTTCACACAATTTTTCAAGCTGGAAAAGTGTAAAAGATCGTAAAGAATTTAATATAAAATTGAAGCAAAAAACAAGAAAACAAGAAAACAACAAAACAACAAAACAACAAAACAACTAACTAACCTTACATTCAAATTGCTTATGATTGACATCGAGAGCGAGGCGGACATCGAAACATAACATCATTTTCGGTGGTATAACATTACTTTGCACTCCACCACTTATTTTAGTTAGATTAATTGTAGTGACGTCACCAATTTTTAATTTTCTATCATTTTCCAATCTTTTCACCTGTTCGGTGCGATAGGTCATCATTTTATCGAGAATATAAAACAATTTTTCACCTGGTGTTTTCGGTAGTAACAGTGAGCCGTGGCCAGCGTTTCCCGATATTTGAAAGTAAACGCCTGCACACATTAATCATAATTTTATTTTCTTCAAATGTAAATTCTTTCATTTTAAACTTACGCCAAACAGACCGCTCGCTATTATATAGAGCGAACTCTTCATTTGGGGTAGCCAAACCTTCGTCCAAAGCGAAACCGACATTTAGCGATTTAAAGGCACCCGTCTCAACAAACGGTTTCATACCCAAGCGTCCACCCATTTCTTCATCTTAATTCACCGAAATTAAATTTATTTTTATAATCTTTTATAATTCTTAGTTCGGTCATATGCTTGCATTAAATAGAAATACGAATTGTCAATGATATATATATATATATATATATATATATATATGTATTTTCAATGGTATACATATATACACATGTATATACACATGTATATATATATATATATGCATTCTTGATCAGCTTAAGTAGGATAAACGATCAACGTATATGTATTCTTTTTTTTCCACCTTTATCGTTGAAATCATTAACGTAACCTCAAAACTGTGGTCTCAAGTATTTTACTTTCGCTCTTTTGAAGCGATTTCTCTCAGATGATAAGAATCAATAAAACTGGGAGCAAAATTTTGCTCACAATTTCTTCAGTTTAATATTACTAAACAATAGCAATGCAATTGTTATTTGGTGTAGTCGTAGTACTAGTGCTTGTCAAAACTTTTGCAAATGCCCTCCTATACCGCTCTTTACTCTTAATTCCATTATACACAGTCCTGAATATTATACTTTCTAGACGTGTTGAGGCTTGCTTTTCATGAGAACACTTATGCGAAAGGCGAACCGAAACGTGAATAGACACAACTCAAATCTAAGAAATCATTATAAAGTACTAAAAATTTCACTTTGCTGCCCTACAGAGGCTTACTTAAAATAAAAGAGGTCTGACTAATAGATATGCACAGTCCAAACTTAACCCGATATATATATATATATATATATATATATACATTCTTTCTTACAGGAATGTATACATAGGGAGAGAAGTGTGATCCGAACATGTTCCTATCTAATCCAAACTTTGCGCATTCGTTTAATATGCTAAACTAATATTTGTCAACGATTTTGTCAAGAAAGTCTACCGATATTTTGTATAAACCTATGCCTAACAAAATGAGTCGACTTTCAGAACAAATTTTGTGGAATCGCCTTAGTCACAGCTTGACACAAGCATTTCATGGTCGATTGTGAAAACAAGGTTAGAAATGATGTGTGCAAACAAGGCGGGAAAGGTGCACATTTTTATAAAACACTCTTCATAATCTGAACACATCGAGTGTATACGGCTTCACGTCGCGTTCGTACTTCTTCTTAATACAATAACAGGATACAGCAGCATAGGCAAACTAATGATGCGTTTCTAAAAATTCTTACGCGGAGGGTTCTACTATCAATTTCCTTCCTATTATTGTAAGTTATTGTGAGAGAGTGTCTTCAGTAAAATCGTTTCTTTTTTTTTTTTTTTTTTGTTTACTTTCAGTGTCAAACTTGCCAAGATAATTAAGGATTTCATATCAATGTTCCGTCACTGCATCAATTCTTACGAAAGGTATTGTTTAAGTTTTGATGATGTGCAATCGAACATCGAACATCGAGCATCGAACATCGAACATCGAACATCGAACATCGAACATCGAACATCGAGCATCGAACATTGGTTAATCGTTTCAGAATTTGCGAATAATGAAGAATATTCCCCTTTTATCGGATTTTGTAATTTATAGTGATATTTTTTATCCTATCTCCCGTACATACATATGATATTCTTCAAATAATTCATATCTCTGTTATATGCCCATTGTTACTCTAGCACGTCTATAATGTAATACATTTACCTGGCACAAAAGTTACGTGTATAGTGCGTTTGAAGTGAAGACCTTGCTTCCTAAGAGCTCTTAGAGCTGCCAAATATTGCATGCCAACACTTTTCATATCTTGACTACCGCGTGCATAGATACGACCTTGATTATCCATTTCTGCAGCAAATGGCGGATGAGTCCAATTCTCGGGATAAACTGGCACCACATCCATATGCGAATTGAGTAGTATAGACTTTGCAGCCTGATCGGTACCGTACCAAGAAATTACTACCACTGGATTTTCTTTATTTACTGGATAATAGATTTTCGCTGGCAGATCCAATAGATCGGCTTGTCTTTTCAAAAACTCAACACATGATTCTAAAAATGATCCCATAATATAAATATTTTAACGCATAATAACAATTTATATAGCAATCAATTAAAGTACTCAACTATAATCGGGAGATGGATGAACGCTTGCTAATCTCAAGTAATCCCGTAAATAATTAATTTCATCGTTATTTTCCCATTCATTTGTTGACATGATTCTCGAAATTTTCTGCAATACTGAGAACTTTTTAATTAGACGACTAAAAACATTAAGTAACATTATAATTTTGATACGATTGAGCACAAAACACTTAACAAATTTGCATTATTTTCTGTTTTTTTTTTTTTTTTTTTAATTGCTTTATAGCTATATAGATAGACTGGAGTATTTTTCTATTATATGAAAATATTTTCAAATTTATAAAGTTAAGAGTGAGAAGTTCAGTGTAAGTGTAGCGTACTGTAGGGTTGGTAACGCTGTTTGTAGAATGTAGAGTGCAAGCGTAGAAAATCTTTTAAATGAATATACGAAAGTCGTTCTTGTATGCGATTATCAAAATGATAATAAATGTTTTTATAATGATATAGATTGATTATATATATGATCCTCTCTAATATTCTGTCATTTGCAGATTAAAAAGATTAGGCTATCGAAGCAATTCAATTTCCCCTATTTTTTTTTTTTTTTTTTTGTACTCTTATTATGATCAATTAGTCAATTACATGAGAAGAGATGGGGCAGCCAAATGGGTGTATGCCTAATCGGATAACTGTTTCGCCTTTACCGAACAAGCACTCACTACAGCCACGATCAAATGCGATCTATTGCACTGAGATTTGAAGTCGCGGACGCTGTCTTTCAAGCCACTTTCACCACAGGTGCGGGAAAAGATATGGAATTTTTTTTTTTTTTTTTTTTTTTTTTTAATATTCTTAGCTATCGCGTTCGAGACGACGCCAATAATAGTTGAGTTATATTTGTAATTTTTTCCTATATTCAATGTTGCTTACTTACAGTCGATAAAGGATATACGAAATTTTTCCACAAGAACAAAGCAAAAATAATAAATAAATAAAGAAAATTTTTAATAATACAAATAATACAAATAATAATTTTCTTACTTGCTTACTTACTGTGAATTGAATTATTTTCTCAGAGATTCAATCGTTTACTACGATCACTCGACATGCACTAATCAAAATATTTGATTAGTTTGCTAAAGCGGAGAATGCACCAGAGAATATAGAATATAGAATATCTCTATCTATTGTTTTTATAATGTTTAAATGAGTTTTTATTTGTTTGAAAATCATCACAATGCAGCCAATAACATTTTAATGCACATTTGCGCCACTAAAGCTTAAGAAATATCATGCATTCGCTACATCCTGCTACAAGCTGTAATCGTAGAGCTTAGATTTGAAGACTTGAAGTAAATAGTAAAGTCCATAAGTTTGATTAATTGAAGAAACATATGGGAGTCCAAAGTCGGCATACAATCGATGCCAAATCGCAATATCCTCCGATATCTTAATTCATGACGAATATGAAGCATTTTCCACGATAATGGCGTACTTATCACACTCAAGTCGCTATTTGAATGCAATCACTTGCAGAACGTAGAACGTGGCCTAAATTATACATTTTTTTTTTAGCTGCGATCCAGAAGCGTGCACAAGCAATTTAATTAGCTTCCAATTATGCCAAGAAATCTAATTTCATTAAAAAAAAAATAATAAAAAAAAAAATTGATTTTACAAAAAGTAAGCAAAGCCGGGTGTTACGTATTCGGTTTCGTATATAACTTTACCATTTACATAGATTACAGCGTTTAGAGTTAATTTAAACGGCACAGTTTAAATTAAAACTAAAAACACACACAAACATTGTAATAGTCTTTGATCGTATGCTTGAATACCCATCGCCTATGTTACATACTTTAATATATGGGGCTTTAATATTTCATTGATTACATTTAGTTTATGATGCCCATGAACCGATAATCCCCTCAATGTCGTCTTTTATTAGTGAAATTGTAAAAAATTTTTACTTTACCTATTTATGATATACAGACACGACACTGTTCCGATATAATTGGACCTTGTCGGATCAAGTGACAATATCAGGCTAGTTCAGCCAAATAATATAATATGGATATATAGGACTCCTGTAACGACCGCCTGTCTACAAGTCGCGCACAAAATGTCTAAATTAATACATTGTCCGAGTTTGAATGCAAAAATTCAAAATAAATATAATAGTTTGGGGAAAAAGAAATCCATTATTTTTATATGAACTTCAGGACATTATTTAACATGCTTCGGATTGTCCGATTTGGGTCAAATATGCACCGTTTTGTTGTATGATTTGTTGCCATTTTAAAGGTAACTTGAAAATGCCTCTCTCATAGAAGTCCTGATCTCTATTTGCAAAAAACTCTAGTAGTCGATTTTCACAATCCTACCTAGATTTCAATTTTTTATCATTAAAGAAATTTTGCAATGCAAGAAAAAGATGATAATCGCTTGGTGCCAAGTCCGGACTGTATGGCGGATGCATTAAAACTTCCAAAACTTTAAAACCAAGCTCCCGAAGTTTCTGGCGAGTCACTGTAGATGTGTGTGGCCTAGCGTTGTCCTGGTGGAACACGACACCTCTCCTTTTGGCCAATTCTGGCCGTTTCTGGACAATCGCTATCTTCAAACGGTCCAGTTATTGACAGTAGAGATCAGAATTTAGCGTTTGGCCATATGGAAGCAACTCATAATAAATAATCCCCTTCCAGTCCCACCAAATGCATAGCAAAACCTTCCTGGCCTATTGAGGTGCTTCACCGCTCTTTGACCACGATCGATATATATATATATATATATACATATTATATATATGTATGTATATGCATATCTTTATATGCAATTAGTATTATGACACATAATCTCTCATATATATGTATATATATTGTATATATGTATATATATATATGTATATATATATATGTATATATATTGCATATAAAGATATTTATTATTAAAGAAATCTAGTGTTAAAATTTTTAAATAAAAATTTTCCTATGTTGTCTTAAGAGATAAAAGGAAAATAGGTCGGCTTATCAGTTGACGCCACCACATACAAATAAAACGCTATCTATTTATTCATATTATTACTGGGGGAATTTACTTTTGTGACAATTTTGAAGTTAAAGCAATATTTAATGTTTATATCGTACACCTTGCTTGTGGTATGGCAAAGATATATTAAATTTGTTCGAGTGTATGTCACGCCCAGTATAATTTAAGATAGAAACACATTTCATTATAGCGATCGTTCCGGAATCACAGTCTGATTCGATTTAAGTTTGTCTGTCCGTTTGTCCGTTTTTTTTTTTTTTTTTTTTTTTTTTGCTAAATCAACAGATCGCAATCTATAAGATATTTTGATGAAATTTGATGAAATTACACCGACACGTTTTGATCCAAAGACGAATGCCAGCGAAAATGCTTGTGATCGAATAACAGCTTTTCCGACCACTTTCCATACAACGCCTTATTTTGAAACATCGGCATATAGATAACTCAAGGTTGATGTAGGGTATTTAATGGTGGGCGATGCTCCATAATAGTGTTTTTACTTGTTGTTATCTGCTTAATGTAAATACAATTTAGATCTTAAGCAAGAAACCCATATTTATCAGGGAATGTTTTAGTGCCTATAATTTTAAGTAAGTTTTTTTTCCTGATTGGGCATATATCATTCCACCGAGCGAGAGATACACGCTACACAATATGAATATAATAAAATAATGAGCTTAAATTACTATCTACAACGGCAGTTAACAATTTGGGCTTCGCTTTCGATAGATAATTCAATCGTCAAGTCATCATAGCCACCATCAAGGTAGTGAGTTACACTACACTCCGGCACACAGATGTAGAACATAAAACACCCCATATAGCGTATATAATATACATTTTTAATAAGTTAAAATTTAAAATTAACCAAGTTTTAGTCATTGCTTTATCGTCTCTTGTGTTCATTCCCATGATTCGCTCGTATAATCCGATGTTGACAAGTAGTCAAGAAGTTGCAACTTACAAGAGATATTAATTTGATACGTGATAAACATATATCTTATTCAACCAGTGCGAAAAAATGGTCCTTGTCGACCATTTGGCTGAACTGAATTTTAAAAAAATAGATTTCAGTTCAATTTTAGTGCGGCATAGTAAAGTAGTGTCTGTATAGTGGTTCCTCCTCCTATATCACATCAACTGACAGAATTTTACTCTTAATTGCATTACACCCAGAATGATAAATGAAAGGCGGCACAAACTGTCAAATGATGCGGCTCAAGTCTCTTCAAGTTTGTTCCTTTGTCAAACAACTTACTATTCTTCGCTTATTTTAATTGTCCGCTGCCATATAGAGAGGTTCGAATAGTGCTCCAATTTTATATTATATTAATTAACTATTTTAGATCAACTTTCATTAGAGTAGAAGGCGATAAGGCAAGTGTGTTAGTTCTACATTAATTGTGGCGGGCACCGGGACGTGATGGATTAATTTTTTTCTAAAAAATAACATTGGTAGGGGTATCAAAAAAATGGACTTGGAGAGTGGGACGCGTGAAGCTAATTTTTATTTTTAAATTCTATATTAATTACGGCAGAGATTATGACATAGCGAAATAATTCTTCTTAGCATCCTTTGGTTAATGCAGTTCACTTCTTTATGACAATAAATAAAAGCATTGGACGCTAAAGATTTGAATGGTGGCGGGTAGGCGAGATTAGGCCAAATCTGAATAGAAGTTTTTTTTTTTTTTTTTTTTTATTAAAACCAATCATTAAGGGGATGCTATCTATTCGCGTAATATTGTGACGGCCGGAAGGAAGTGAGGAAAGAAAAAGAAAGGAAGAAATAGGGAGGTGGGGACCGCAGCTTACTAGATATGAGCCGAGACGATAAGTCCTCTTTACCAACTGATCACTCACTAGTTAACTCTAGGGTACTAAGAATTGATCTCGCGAACATTGATCACGCGGATTACTTGTTATCATATAAAGTCTTCTTACTTGTATATACGCGTAAAGCATTCGTTTAATATTTGTTTAATATTTTTCAACAATTTTGTTAAGAAATATTTAACACTAAAGTTGCATGTGTCTATTTTTACCAAAATGGTTCAATTTGACTCGCAGTTACTGTGGAATTGCCCGGGCCGCAGTTTAAAACAAAAATTCCTCGACCGATTAAAAACCCAAGCATAGAAAATATTTGGGTTATGTCTATATTTACTTTCTTACCTATTTTTTTTTTTTTTTTGTTATGTTATTATTATTATTATTATTATTATTAATTTCGCCAGAGAAATAAATTCTAAGACTAAACTCTTAAAAGCACTAGCATCTAAGGCTTTCGGCTTTTATTATTATTATTATTAAAAACTCTACCGCACTTGAGATTCGAACCTACGACCATTGACTTGCTAGTCGAGACTCTTGCCTACTCGGCCACTCAGGCGGATATGTTATGTTATTTTGTCGAAGATACCAAAATCAAATTTTAATTCTAAGATTTTCTTCGTCTTGGGTAAAGATCGGTCTAGTGAATGAAGAGTAGGCGCAAAATCCAAAGCATGCCTCTTTAGAAAGATTAAAAAATATTTACACTTTACAGGCGTTCTTTAACTTTGGCTTCGTAGTCGAGCAAAGATTACTTGTGTCAAACCTGATTTTTATGATTACGACGGCACCACCAATGCTATACATCAGATTAATTCATTTTTGTAGAACTACTTAATATACTCTGTATCACAAATGGCATAGGGGATGAGAAGAAAGCATTTTGGTGATACGAAGTGGTACTTATTGCAATTGAAAAAATCGAAGGCGATCTTCGGATAAGAAATGACAGATAGCGACAGCTAAACGCATAAAGACGAAGAACGATATCTGCATCAATTCCGCACATATATATTATCTCCTTTGAATGATGACAATTTTCTAATTTACTCTGTCGATTTTAATTGCATTCAAATCGCATTCATGGCAGATGGCATATAATGTATGCCAATATAAAGATGATTAAAATCCATATGCGGACAATTTTCAAATAAAGTAAGAAAAGAATAAAGTTTCTGGGAATAAGATCTAGAGCTAGTTAGTTAGATAGATAGCGATAAATAGTAACCTACAGCATCTTTCTGTTATATTTAATTTGCAACCTCTCATTTGATTCATATATGATCAAGCCCAAGGACGGCCGATAATCCTGTTCTCTTCGTACGCTCGAGTTTCATTTTGCTAATAAACTTTTTAGCCTTATAGGTTTCAACGTGACAGGCTTACGTCTATACACATTAGACGTAGTGAACAGCAGCGTTTCGAGCTTTTTCTAGATAAGTGTAGCTTCTTTTGTCTTTCCTCACCCATAACCGTTTTTCGTTACTCTTGTTCTTAACCAGTTTGTTTAGATTTTGTGTTTATTGGAAACATATGTTGTCCCATGTTGTCAAAGCTTATTTTATTTCATATGCGTCTTCCGTTACTATTATATTTTACATATGCGCCTTGTCGCAAAGCTTAACGATGAAGTAGTTATTTAAAACCAGTAAACCATTGAAATTATTGCCCCTCACCGTTAATCTTCAAATAAAGTAAGCAACATTTTTCAATTTTTTTTGTTATTGGCGAACCATTTATTGGCCTGTTCACAACTCACATATCTCGCGTTGCATTTATCAGTTCACTTATACTTTTACTTTATAATTTACGATAAGAATTTTGCTTTGTTTTTTCGGCCTTTGCCTTAATCTAATCCTCAATATGTTACGAGACTTCAACGCCGATCAATTCAATCGGTTCACTAACGATTATCTTCAAAAGACGTCAAGAAAAATTCTATCAAAAAATTTCATTTAATTGTTTAAAGTTTCCCTTTTGCCCGGCAAGAACTTACCACCACACAGAGTACACATATCACCACACGACGCATGCATATGAAAAATTGCATATCATTTATTTCAAATATTCATCTATAGTTTTTTTTTTTGTTAAATATATTATGAAAATTATTTTCTCCACGATCGATACATCTTTTTGCGACAATTGATGGAACGCTGATATCGGGGAGCATAGCATTTTCGGTATATCATTTTCTCGCAACTATATTTCTGAGCCCGCAGACGCAAAGATGGCTCAATGGCGCCGCCACGTAAACGAAGCGTTAAATTCAAAGTCGACCACTTCCGGATGCGATGGGCGTAAAGAGTGCGTCCGTCTTCAACGTTCGTATCAGTAACGAAGAAACATTGTCGCTCGGGCATGATGCCTTTCTTCTGTCCGATTTTTACTTTAACAGTTGCGATGGTATCGCTAGACTCAAATACCAAACAAATTGCATTTGCAGTTACAGTTTTTACGAACATTTCCATATTTCAATTTTTCAGTTCCTCAAATTTTTCCAATAATTTTTTTTTTTTGACTTTTACACTCGATTGCTGTAATACGACTATAGGAGTATAAATGCAATCAATGCGTTTGCTATCGAAAAAAAAAGGAAACTCGTACTCGATTTGAAATGCGTCAAGGAGCGAATATTTCAGAGGATAAAAGGCTGGATCAGAATAGAATTCAATAACCTAAATAAATCTTCATAAGATTATCACAAAGAAAGAAAGAAGTCAACTCAAGACATCAAGACTCACGATAAACAAACCATGTCCGCAATTCGGCTTGAATTCATTTTATTATTATTATTATTATTTTAATTTTAGACTAATGAATTGAATTCTTAGACTAAAAAAAAGAGACATTGAGCACTAGCAACACAGGCTATCGGCTCTAATTTAAATAAATGGATATTAGATAATAAGCTTAGTAGTATTAATAAAGTAAAATATTGAATTGATATTCTGTTCTGAAGTTGATTGTAGAATGTTCAAAGGGTTAATCGTTCCAAATGCAATACTTCTAGCCAAGGAAAAGTTGAGGCAGTCGCAGAGAATGTGCTTTATAGTAAGAGTTTGTCCACAACAGCAGATTGGGGGAGAAGACTTCTTCAGGATCTATTGGTGAGTTGCAATTGTACGACCAAGGCGAATTCTCGAAAATGTTTGGATCTTGGTTTTCTCAACATTTGTTGGATATAGAGGTGGAGTTAATTGAGGGTTAATGCAAGAGTAGTGTTGATGATGGTATTGTAAATTTCCTTCTGCAATTTTCTCTTTAACTTTTCTTCCAATGTATCTTTGAAGATCCAACTTTTCCATGACATCATCCATAATTAGAGGAGCAGAAGCAGCGTACTTTGCCGCTTGATCAGCCTGCTCATTTCCCAGTAAACCGATGTGACTTGGTACCCATAACATTTTATAGGGTTAGCCTACACGATTTGCAAGTAGCCTGGTTTAATACCTTTTCATATAACATATGTTTATATATATTTATGACTTTAATAACCATTCATGCGTTTTTTTTTTTTTTTTTTTTTTTTTTTTTTTTTTTTTTTTTTTAAATTTTATAGACTTTAAACAATTTTTTCCTGGACGAAATTTTGTCAATTCTAACAATTTTTGAGGGATTGTAATGTATGTGTATGTGTGTGAAGTCAGTATAACACACATATTACGAATATATATCTTTACGATCAATTTCAAGCTCTTATCTCAATTTGGGCGGATGGATGGGGCCGCTGTTTACATATATATATCGAACGAATATTTCAAAAATATATATAAATGTTTTACGAGGCCGCAAAAGACAATGAATATTAATTAGCCATAGTATACGGTCCACAACACTGACCACAAACTGTAAGCTGATTTAAGAAAATTTCAGATACAGACACGTTTTCTACTCTTAAGCTTAATAATGAGTGCTTGGATGTGTATTGATCAGCGACATCTCTTAATGTAAATTTGATGATTTTTACTTTATCTCTACATAATCTAACGGTTTTCTATTATTGTAATACGATCGACGAAAATCTATTGAAAATGATGAATGTACACAAAAATTCATTGCAAGATGAATAGATTTTCTTTTACAAAAACTTTAGCTTTCTATCGATATCAATGATAAGAAGATAAAATCTTATTATAATTCAGAATATAAATAAGAGATCTCCTATTTTTAAAAAACGAAGCGAAAAGTTTCATCATCATCAGACTCATATTTATTTTTGAATCAAATTTTAAATATCTACACATCGTCCAGTAAATGAGTGCAGCTTTTACGTAACGTGTGTGAATGAAGAAAACGAAAAGCTATAGTTTTCAAATTCTAATTTTCAATTCTATTAATTGCGAAAGCATATATATATATATATATATATATGTTAAAGGTGATTTAAAGTATAAATATTTCTCGGTGTTATGTTAAGCATAAAATGATAAAATTTTTATATAACATTTACTTTTGAAAGTAGGTAGAGTGCAGAGCAGTAGTAGAGTTTAACTAAACAAAACATTCATTCTTCATTTCTCGTATACATTGCCTACTCATTTGTATAACACTAATAAACAATGATTAAAATTAATAAAAACAAACTAGCGTTTAATTATATTATATGCACAGAAGTGATATTAGATTGAGTTGAATACCATAAATCGTTAAGTAAATCAAAATTTGTGTGCTGGAGTTTAAAATTCTACACACACACACATATATATATATATATATATATATATATATCACACATATCAACATATATATATAATAAACATATATATATATATATAACAACAATTGACAATACTACGGTACCCGCAATATAATAAAATTAAAAAAAAAAAAAAGAAAGAAAACCAAAAGAAACAAACACACACACATATACACACAGTCACATGAACTTATATACAATTCCATTATACGCGCAATAGCAGTAACGAGAGTGAATTTAAAACATGGTAAAGTATCAGAAAGAGAAAGAGAGGACAAAATTAACGTCAGCTAAAGCCGACTTTTCGATACCAAACGAAATTTTTCAAATATTAATTAATCGTTTCGCAATTCCAAAAAAGTCACTATAACACTAAGCTTATTTAATTTAGTTTATTGTACTCTTGTTTAATCGATCAATCCATTGTTAGAAATTAGGAGAAAAAAAAAAACAAAAAAACAACAAGAAATTATCATAAATCAAATCAAAATATAGAAAAATTTTAATTCCATTTTCCACTATATCTAGTGAATAAACAGTTTCTGTTTTTGTTTTTTTTTGATTGTCGAAAATTTCAACTTTACAGGACTTGTGGAGGATAAAAAAATAGGTTAACAGGCGTTTCTGCGAATGCAATGAAAACGGATACGAATCAAATATTCAATAAGAATGATACGGATTTTTTTTTTTTTTGATAAAATCGAAGAAAAATTCGAAATAAAAATGTGTCTATTGGACTCGTTCATAGTGAATCGAATAAGTTGAAATATTTCGCTACGCGTAAATTGTAGGAATTGAACGGAATATGGCAGGCATTTAAAAGAATTTTAAATTAATCGGATAGCGCATAGAACAGTGAAGATCTTGGGAGAATTTTTAAAAGTATTCACGTAACCTATCGTATTGTACGTTTAAAAGTTTTAATAAAAAATTGTTTGTTTTGTCTATTTTTTTTTTTTTTTTTTTTTTTTTTTTGAAGTAAGTCGATCACCACATGAATTTTAGTTTGTTATTCAAGCCATTTACTTATTAATTTAATGAAATGTATTTATAAGACTTTACGCGAGAGTCCGATTTCGATTACAATTTCGATTTCGATTACAATTTCAATTTCGATTGCATTCATGTGAAAAGAATTCCTTAGCAATAAACAAAGCATAATAATTATTAGAAGATAATTATGTGTAGTGAAGTTTCATAATCGGCTTCCAATATAATGACAAACTTTATATATCTCTCTTTTTCGATAATAATTTTTATATAAACACACAGTTGCACACGATATACTTGCTCAACTATTAAATGAAATTTTCATATATTTGATTTCGAAGAGGCAACGGTTTAGTTTAGTGTGCTCAGAGAAGTTGATTCGCAAAGTATAGGAAAAAGTAATTTTAGAGTAAGGACGGAAAAGTAAGGAAATTTTTAGCCTTACTTTCCTATTCGAAATCAGCTGAGCTGTTTTGTGTTGACGGAGATTAAAAATTAATAATAAACAACAAACATAGTCGCGAATGTTAATTTTTATACTCGTTTATACTTATTGCCTTCATCTATTCATTTATAATAAATATTAATGTACTTGATTGATTTTCATTTTCACATATAACATATTATTTTTCTTATACGCTCATATAAATATATATATATATATATATATATATATATATGTATATTTATTTATTTATTTATTTATTTTTTGGTTACACATTTAGTATGAGTGCTTGGGAGAAGAATGAAGAAATAAAAATATTTCGTGAATATTTACGCATACCCAGCGTTCATCCGGATATTGATTATAGTGAGTAGAGAAATATGCAAACATAAACAATATTATAACAATTTAACAACACCAACAACAACAACAAATTCGGAACCGTTAAAGATCAAAGGTATTCTTTTTCAACTAGAAATTTTAAAATATGTGCTTACTTGGAAAAATCCAAGTATAAAAAGGGGAACTTCATCCATAAAGTGTATTCTGAACAAGGATTATCTAAGCTATTCATTTTTTTTTTTTTTTTTTGGTACATCGTTAATCCCGTTAATTTTCTACTGCAGCGAAACATTTCAGAATGAGTGATGCGCGTACGTCCGCGATAGGTCTGCCGTTCATTTACAGTTTACTAAGATATGCAATCAGGAGGAAAGTGAGATTGAATACAATTTAAATCCGTTATCTATGCAAATGGAATAAACGTAAATACATATACATTAAAAAAAAAAAAAAAAAAAAAAAAAAAAAAAAAAAAAAAAAAAAAAAACAGTTAATCAAATGTAGCAATTTTGTGCGTCTCTGGACATTCATTCGTATTTGACAAGTATTCAAATTCTACAAAAGAAATAAATGAAAATATATTTCGTTTGAAAAATGAGCAGAGATGGCAATAGGCCGATGTAGGTCATTTTCATTTCGCCACTCACACATACAAATGCTGCTTTGGATACCTTGCACTATGTGCCTTATCGCCATAGGAACACGATGAAGTGTATATGCAGGATAAATTTCTTTTACACATCGTCGTCGAATTATTCCACTATTGAGAAAATTATAACGAACCCCAGCCGAACCAAATTTTTAATAGCAATTTGGAATATCGAAATACTATCAGTGAGCGGGTTTTGTCTAAAAATTGTGCAAGTTGCAATTTTTTTCAAACTAAGGCATTGAATGAGGTGCTGGTCGAAAAAGTGCTCCCATCTGAAAACTTTTCAAAGCGTTCGTCCTTGAACCAAAATAGAGATGTAACAAATTTCATCAAAATAATTCAAAATTTTGAAAAAAGACGGAAAGATGGACAGACAAGCTTGGATCGATACCGAATGAGTATAATAGAAGTCCTTCTGAGTGTTGCGTACGTCCGCAATTAATTTAATTAATGTACCCTTGTATTACTAGTGATATAGTGTATGAAAATTGAAATATATAGTGTGTCTTAAAAGTCACGAAAGACTTAAATTAAATAGAAAACAAATTTTTCCTTTTTTTAATTGTAATTTGAATCATAATACACATCGGATAGGGTTATGTCTGCTTTGCTGGCAGATACGTACTTTTTTATCGAAATTTTCCATGAGCATTTTGTATAAGTGCGACTGAATTTCCTTGATGCAACATCGAATCTCCTTCCTTCAATGCTCGGCTGGTTGTCTGCCTGTTGGCATGAACCTTTGACGAACCTTTGATCCGGCGGTGTTAAATCATATGATCTAGGGCACGAATTCTGCTCACCAAAACAATAGAGTACCCAACGGGGCAGTAATTGAATTGTTTCACAGAATATATGGGATGGGGCTCTGTCTGTTTGAAATCAGATATCATTCACATCAAAATCGTCCAATTTAGGCAGAAAGAACTAGGTTAACGAGCACCTGCGACAGTCATCTCATTTTCGAAGAACTATGGTCCGATGATGGCTCGCGTCCAAAATATGCACCAAAGAGTGACACGTAGCGGGTGCCTTAGTTTTTCGACAATCACATGTGAGATCTCTGAGCCTCATATGCGGCTATTTTGACGATTAACGGACCAGTCAAGATGACCATATTTTGTAGAATATTTGCGAACAGAGGCCTCCACGCTTTCATTATTTTTGAAATATTATCAACAATCAAAACTCATCGCTCTGTCGAGTAGTACTCCATTTTTACTAACCCTAAAGTGGCAGGGGTACCAAACTGTTATTTTTTTTTTTTTTCTTGGATTACCGGTACACTTTACCGTACAAATGGCGACAAATTCAAATCTTGCCTACATTTCGGGAGTTCCTATATATATATAACGCTCGATTTCCATTGCAAAATCATTTCCAGTAAAGCGATCGTCCACTTTTAACTGTTTAGCTTCCGTGTTAATAAATGAAATTGGCGAACGTGTTCAAAAAAAAAAAAGGCGGAAATCTTCCGCCAACGAATGAAGACACTTTGTAAGACAACAACGACAGTATTTTGTTGTTTTGTCTTATCCAAATAAGTTTTGAACAAACTAAATGCTAAACGGGTCGGGCCTATCATTTGGACAACCCGATGCAACACACCATCCATCTGCGCGATAGATGAAACATTTTATGATAACAGAACGCAATTAAAAATGATCACTCTTTTCGATGTTTAGAAGGCGTAAAAACATTTTAAAATTATTAACGTTCCAATATCCTTAGAAAATTGAAAACACTCACCAATTGAGTATTCGGTAGCTAACATTGGTATTCACAGTCATGAAAGATAACGCCTACTAGAAACAATACAAGTAGCTTAATAACAATAGTTTAACACGATTAAATGGACTTGAGTTTTTCCATATTTTTGTAATTATATGCGATTGAGGTTAGGAAATGCTGACTTAATTTCTCGCATTCCATACGCTATACGAGTCTGCAATTATTTCGGAATGCGAAAAGTAAAAATGCCTGACATCACTTCGCTTAATACTGTTATTTACATAACAACTATTTTTTGAAATTAAGCACTGGCGTGATCCGATTCGAAAACTTTTCAATAGCCTTCGTCGTAGAGCGACGCATTAAATTTCAAAATGAAAATAATTCACAAATTGTGACCTACTGTTGGTTGAACACAAGAAAACAAGACGGACAGATGGACAATCAAGCTTAGATCAATTCCAAATTACTGTAATAAAAGGTGGATCTATCTCGAGTCCTTCTAAACGGCACATACGTCCGCACAAATTTAATATACGTTGTACTACATGTGATGTATGTGTGAAATGTGTATGAATGTTGGCATAATCTTTTACTTTAATGAATCGACTTTTAAAAAGTTGAAAACTACAATATTTCCAAATTATTTCTTATCGCTATCTTCAAGTTATAATTAAAAATTGGCAAATGCGGTCATCATAATCAAATAGTTGATCATTTTTACAATTTGCTTGAACATGATTTAAGTTACGACTCAAGTGATTTTTTTAATAAAATGTTCATGTTGCCTTTAAAAATCCGCAAAAATTGGGATAATTGCATTGTTAGTGGAATCCTCAGTTAGAAATACAAATCGAAGATATAAATACACGTTCACGTGAAATTCCACATTCATTGAATTTCACGGACAAAATTTGAAAATCGGAACAAGCAGCACAAATATATGTACGTGATATCTACTTATAAGGTAAGGTTCCAATGTCATGGAAAAGAGCTTTTTTGGTACGCTTACCATCGCGCAATCAATGACAAAAACAAAAAGCCATACATATATGAAACATATATGTATATATATATATATATATATATATATATATATATATTCTATATATGCTTCTATATGCTATTTACCTGTAAGTAGTTACGGGCGAAAAATTAAAACGATTTGAAGTTGATGTGCAAACTAGCTTCAAACATTTCAATATGAAAAAAATTTAAGATCGATTCAATTGCTTTCTCAATACACCGCGGATTGCATTGCTTACGTAGAAGCAAGGATCACTTTTATATTGTTTTCGATGATATTTGAATTGAAAGGATAAATTTCCAAATCAACTTTGCGTTTATGATTACAACTAACTATATATACTATGCACACATGCATAACTATATATACATATATATAAATATATATATATATATATATACAAACTATACACATTTACATAACTATATACACAAATGTTTAAAAAATCTAATATATCCCCCGCGATGCAAGAATGTTTAATCAATTTTGTGTTGTTTTGATTTGTTTTATTCGTTTTCTCTGTTTGCTCATAGAACTTAGATATACATATATAAAATATAAATAAATATTGTGTTACATTTACTTAAAGAAGTATATAAGTTAGTAAAGTTAAAATCAAGTCAATGAAAAATCAATACAGTACATATATATATATATATATATATATATATATATATATATA